TGAAAGATAACAAAACACGCACAAAACTTTTTAAAATACACCTCTTTATTAATGAAATCCGTTTGAGAGTTCTGGTCGCTCTACGGTCGTCGCCTCCACAGTGGAAAGGGGTATTACGAGTGGTATGAAAGCCTTTCTATACTAGTATGTAACATAAGCCTGAGTATGAAATAAAGACGGGCTGGGAGCACGGCTGTACGCCGAGATAAGAACCCGGCTCACTTTAAGTACTTACTTCCAAGACGGCGACGTTATTTCCTACACAAGGACGCAATTTCTTCTGCCGAGACAGCGTTTTTCTTTCCTAATATTGCCTACGTCGATCAGGCAGACCGCATTGTCAAGCGGAATTTCACGGCAGAGCCGGAAAAAACGCGCTATTTATGTTGCGTGGGTACCTCTGAAATAGTAGCAGTCATTTCAAACAAGATAGAAAGCCACAGAGGCAGCACTTTGATGTCAGTAGAGAGCTCTCTTGTGGCATTATCTTCCAAAGACGGGATGCCTTTTCCTTTCCTCGTATTCTACGTCAATCAGCTATACTGTATTGTCAACTAGAATTTCATGGCAGACTTAGCAATATGCGCTATTTAGGCTGTATTATTACCTCTGAAAGTAGCCATTGCAAACAAGATAAAGACCCACGGAGGTAATGCTCAGATGCTACAGGGCGTTTTGTTCACAAGTTTCTTCAGAACACGGGAATTTTTCTTTCCTGCACTTTCCACGGGAATCCAGGGGTAGACTCGAGAAAATGTGCTTGTATGTTGTGTACTTAACTGAGAATCGTGTCGTAGCAGTCTTCTTATAACTTCAAACGATATAAAAAACGAACAAGTTGTACTTTGATGTCACAGTCTCCCCTGTTCGTGGACAGATGGTGTTGTCAACCGACACGGCTTCAACCAAGTCGCTGTTTCCGCGGGAACAAGGTGTGTCTTCTTCAGAGTTCTCGCATGTCGCGGACCGGCAGAAAGTTGACATGGCCAGGGGCATGTTATCACCGTGCAGTTGGGATCTCACTCAGTTTCTCTCTCCGTTCTTAACTGTCTTTGCAACATCTTGTACTCTTTTCTAGTACATGTATTGCACGTTTTCTAACGCGATTCTTCGGAGGTGTGGCGATTAAGCATGACCATGCAAAAACACACGAGTCGTCAGAAAATAGGGCAATTGTTAACCCTGGAGCCGAGTAGCTGGCCTATGTAGCCCTTGAGAATAGCCTGGCTTCTAGGCTACCCGGAGACCGGTGCCACTGCGCTTTCCCATCTTGTCGTCCTGACCACCTGTCAGTCATTCCTCCGACGGAGTGACGCGTGGGTAATGCGCGGGGCGGGGAACTGATTTCCGGGACGCCCCGCGCCTTGTTATCACTTGTTTACTCAGCTAATCGCCGTGTGGACGGGAGGCTTCCCGGACCGGCCGCCCAGCGGGAGTAATTGTTTTACAATGAGCCGTGCACCGGTCACGCTGTCCGAGGAACTGGCATAGTCTGCACCAGAGATCTCCCCGCACATCGAGTTAGGAAGTTACAAAGGTGCCTAAAAAGGTGCCAACGAGACTCGCCACCATAGTCACAAACGTTCTACAATATAAGGTAAACACATGCCCAAAGTTCTGAACACTTCAGCCTAAGGCTACCGGGGATCAACTTCAGAAACCACTCTACACGTTTCACACTGACCACGGCTATCTCTCCATATCGTTGTACCGGCGTGCACTTGAAACTTTTCAAGACAGTTACTCGGGCAGTCATTGGCCTTAGTTGATATTCTTCTCACCTACAGACCGACTTCAGGAAATATATAATATAAGACACCCCATTAAGGCATTACGGCTGCTCTGTGTTTCGCTAAACTTTCTTGTGGGTTTTCTTGGCTCGACATGGCGTGCTTTCTGCATTGTAAAATTTGATCAGAAGTCGACGTATCCGTACCGCTTTTGAAGCAGCTTTTTGAAGCAGCTTTATTGAGCTTTATCTTCCACTGAACATTGCCCACCACTTCTTCTTGTAGGTCAAAGTAAAAAATAATGGAGCAAGCGTGCCTAAGGTTAGCCTAAGGTTGGTATTGCGTGCAATTCGGCCTCGCCACTGCTGAAGAATAGCCAAGCACCAGGCCTGCACATCGCCTATTCTCGACAAGTGTGTTGGGTTCTTTTGACATGGCCAGGGCAGGGTTTGACACCTGGTGCTCCCTCTAAGCACGAGACCGTCACCCCCCCCCCCCCGTCCGAAAGTAGGAACTTAGACAGAATTCGACAGAACTAGAACTTTTCCATCCCAGTCAATCAGCGCTCACACTTACCGTTGGCAACCTTTCAATCATATCCATCAGCCCAGTTTCCAGAAACTGCTTAGCTCGACTGCTCGGCATATTACATGAGCATTGCGCTCGGGCGTGGGATAGATTCGTGACCGCAAACACGCGAGGAACACAGGCCGTGTTTAGGCGCTTCCCAAGGCATGGTATGGTGGAATTGGAAACACGCCCAGCGTAATGTTACAACCACTCACCGGACTTCAAGCAGATCTGAGGGGTCGGTGTTTTGGTAAGCTCGTGTCGCAGCGTCTTTCATGCAGCACGTTTTCCTCACCTTAGCCTGGCTCTCAGTCGCTCCCTCACAAAATATGAGTCAATAAGTATGGAGCCCCTCTAAACTAAATACTAAAATAGGATGGAACCCAGTGTGTATCTCCAAAGAAATTCAGGTACCGTATGGTTTTAGTTCGTTTTAAACTGTGCATGCTACGATTACGAAAGATAAACATCATTCAAAGCGTTTAAAGTATGAATCCGATGATAATGAACCCCCAAACAAGGTTACAAAATACATTGTTCTTATGTTAGCTACCTCTACTGAAAAGTTATGTCCTATTTTGGCATCTATTTCGGTGCACAGGGAATTCTGGCGGAGACTACATGACGAACACGGTTTGCGAGGCGTCCAAGTCAGTGAATCGCACAACGAAAATGACACACAAAGCGCACACTACAGATCGACGACGGACGTGCACAATGAACTGCACATTTGCTTGGTGAGAATTAGTGCATGAGTAGGATGAGCTTGAACCGAAGTTCAGCCAAAGCCTGGCTGACTACATGAAACATGTACAAGATTAGAACTGATCAAAACGTCTCAGACGCTAACGCTAACTAGACAAGTTTGCCACCACACAGGAAGTTTCCTTTTTTGAACCACCAAAGGAGTCTGGTAGAAACTTAGTGATGGTCATATTTATTTCTATTTCGACATTTAAACAAAACACTGGTGTTTTGTTGGACAACAATGATGGTCACAGTTTGTGCCGAAGTGTCACGTCAGAATTCCCGAGTGAAAAGGGAAGTGGTCGTCTGTGTGGTCAGGTCGGCTTGATCCCCGCGCGTGACCTGGACGTGGGGGTCACAGGGGGCTCCCTCCGGCCCACGCCTCGGCCGGTGTCAGCCGGGCGTGAGGCTGTAAAACAATTACTCCCGCCAAGAGTACCCATGGTATGTTAGTGGCGTATGGCTATAAGGAGTAGCCGTTAGCGCAGGCCCTACTACTTTTAAATTTGCGACTATGATCGGACTTTGTATCCCATTGGCGCTGAACAGCTAGGACTTCTAGGTGAGACTACTTGACTAGAAAAAACATCATCAAAGGGAGACGATGTTACAGACATTTTTCTCCTTCCCAAGTTGTGCAGTTTATCGTTCTCCACGTGTTGAAGCTGTAAGACAATTTTCAGCGTCTATGGGGTGCGAAAACGCCAAGGAACAAAGGATTATCAGCGTACTTTTGCAAACAAGGGAGGAGGCGGTGCAGAGGAAACTGGTTAATTTGTCCTCCTAAGGGGTTTATTTTTGTCTCGCTGACCCGCTGTAAAACACTTAAAACCGCCAATGGGGCGTATATAGCCATGAAAGGAGTGATTACTTGAGTAAACAAGGGATCATCAACATACTGCTGTGAACTGCTGTGAAGAAGGGGGGGGGGGAGGCGGTGCTACAGAAACAAGTTCTCCTCCCCCTAACTAGCGGTGGATCATTTTGTCACCCTGGCCTGTTGTAAAACTATCAGAACTGCTGATGGGGCGTGAAAACGACTAGACAGGAGGAGTGATTCTTAGACAAACAAAGCGTCATAAACTGAGGAGGCGGTCCCACAGAAATCTGCCCCCCCTCCCCCAATGTTTCTCTGCGTGTCTTGCGCGATCGGGACACTGTGGGGACAGGGTGACCTCCGTACGGTAACGTTTAGGGAACGTGTATGGCGATGTTTACACGTCTGTCTGACCTAATCCGCGCAGTGATTTATGACAACAAGCTCCCGCCAATCACCGACCACTTTCGCCGGCCGGCGGTGCAGGACTCACACAGTGATAAGCATCTCCATTGACAGTTTTTTTCTTTATTTTTTGACAAGTTGTAAATAAGCGCGAACGTCTGGCTGTAACGTCTGGCGGAGCCGACGCGCGGATGCCACGGGAACGGCAGCAGCGTCGTGCCCAGGGCACACAGCGTGCACACACACACATGCACGGGCCCCTTTGAACCCGCCACAGCTAACCGCCTCCGCTTGCACAAGTGAAAGTGAACACAGTCTCGAAAACATGCAAATCTCCGCGCTGATTAGTCTTTTGCCGCCTCAGAATGAATACTATAATTACGGCAGAGCCGGGCCCTTGTGTAGACGATCAGCGCCTTCTCACGGTGCACCCCCCTCTTGTAGCAACCACCCCGGTGAAACAACCGCCCTTTCACCCTGACAATGGGCGCAAGGAACTGCGACCGAACGCAGCGCGCTTTTCGCACCTAGACCAATGCGTTGTTTGCTTTGCGATTCAGGCCTTTATGGCTCGCGAGTCCGAGCGGATTTGAGCCCGTCTGGCTTCCGTCTGGGAGAAGAAGCCGTTGCAACCCTGCCCGGCCCCGGGACCCCTCACCTTCTTTCTCTAGCACGACCGGGGCCAATAGAGGCCCGCCTGACATCACCAGCACCCAATCCCGCCACTGTTTACTCGCCGCCTTCATGCATATGTTGATCAATTCTGTTCGTCTCGCTGTACTACACCGCCGGAGAGAGCGACGCGAACGGATAATCCAAAAATCCCCTGTTCCCCCACCAAGCCACCACCATGAAGCATGCGGCATCGTAGCGGGGACGTTCTCGCCTCCTCCGTGGTTTGCTCCGTGAGTCACTCGCCAGGCCGTGCGCCCTGAAAATGCCCCCTACAAAAAAGCCCACCAAAGCGAGGTAAGGCGCTCAGACTGTATGCAAATTCCCTATCCCCCCGTCCGTCCTACCCGTGTTGTTAGAGAGTGTGTGTTATGATCGTTGCAGGCGGCCCGGCTACTAGCTCTTGCCGGTACCGGAGCACGGCGTCTGTTATCTTCCCACCCCGGCCCACCAGTCCTGTTCGCCCGCAGAAACCGTGCTCTGCTACGGGCTCGGTCGGCATGCTGAGCCCGAGCAGCTGCCAGGATTCTGACCCTCTTCTCTCTTCTTCCCTGCTGCCCCCGCCGTCCCATAGGGCGAAGGAGGAAGGCCTGGACTGGGAGACTAGGAATGCACGGTAAGAATATAGTACCTCCCGCTTTAATTATGTGTGCTCAAACGGAGGGGCTCGCAAGGTTCTTCTTCTTCTACCTTTCCTTCCTTTCCTCCTACACCCGCTGACAAACCTCACTACAAAATGTCCCTGTCGTGTCGCTGGGCACGACAACTGGAGGACAGGCCACCAAACTTTCCTTGTCACCCGCCAGCCACCGGCTCCCTATATAAAACGCACCCACTTGCTGAAGAACGGTGCACACTCTCACTACATCCCCACGAAAATAAAACACAATTTCACCAACATGGCGTCACAAAAGGCCGCCAAAATCCACAGGAGACCGTAGAAAATTATAGAAGAGGCTCTGCACGGTTGGAGCGAGTCGGGAGAAAGTGTCGACTGCGGGCGAAAGTGTTACATACCATTGCTTGAATAGGCGCGACCGGAATAGAACGCCGGGTGACCTGCTTTTCAAACAATTAGCACTTTCCGTTAAACCGAACTCAGAAGGACAGGCCCCATTGGGCGTAAATTGTGCAGAAAGATGGGAAAATATTACGCCTGGCACCAAAGTATAACCACACACACGCCAAGAAAAACTAAAATATTGGGAGAAACAACTAGTAACCGGGCAGGAAAGCTAGTCAAAACTACCGTCGCTACGGCAAAGGGACACGTCATGCGCCCCCCTTTCACTTTTTAACATGGACCCCAACTCACCGCTGAGAAAGTTTAGGCGGGAAATAAACACATCCATTTCGCAAAGCCTCCCTTCAGCGACAATCCTGTCGTAAGATTATCAAGAGAAGGAAACTCCAACTAATGAAGAGTAGAGGCAGCCGCAGACGGCCGTTTCGCGCGCCGTGTGTGTGTGAGTGAAGGAGCCAGACGCGAGTTTCACGTGGTAGCACAGTTTCATTGACGGGCGTCGTGATTACTGACCGGCCACGGCACGTGAAGATCATCCACAATATCCCGAACCCGTGCGACGTGAGACGAGCTCGGCTCTGCCACCCCATGGTCGTGGTACTACAGACGAACACGGGTTACCGTAGCGTCGGGAACGGGAAGGGCATTCGGCTTGGATAGGGGGAAAGGGAGGGGTGAAGAAACTGCTAACGTTAACTACATATCAGAGATGGCGGAGTTGAAATATAAAAAAAAGAACAAAAAAACATGTCGGGCCCCGTTCCAAACATCATTGAAGTTTACAATGTAGTATGCAAGTTCCCATTTATTGTTTTGATTCTGCGAATGTTTTAACTGTAATTTATATTTACGTAAAAGGTTCGGTATATAACGTTAACGTGTTATAAACGGGCAATTTTTCTACACAAAGTTGAACACCAGAACACGCCACACCCAACGGTCTTCCCCTTATACCGTATTACTTCTGTCATATAAACTCCAAATATCGCTTATCATCGTCTCCCTCATCATGCAGGAGCTTGTTAAACGTTTTATACAACTTGTTATGTCTGGGTTTCTAAGCCAAGGCCGGTTAATATTACTACAAGAGAGTGGATTTGAGCCAAATCTCGGAGAGTAATATCAGGACATATGTCACAAATCTTCCATTCATACGGTTTCTCGCCTAGTGGCGTTACCGATTGCAAGAACTCTTTCTCAACATTTTCAGCCAGGGCACGTGTGAACTCGTAAGTTATGTCCACTTTAACCTGTGCCAGTCGTTTAGGGGCATAGTAGTTCGATCTGAGGCCAGTGACAAACATGAAAACAGCAGCACGTAAGTTACAGGTCGGGAGAAAGTTGGTCAGTAGGTTACCGAGTCGGCGCGCGATGGCGTCCTTCTAAAATTTTGGTCTGTCGAGACTGGTTAAGGTTTCATAACCTGACGTAACTAGAATCAATGAGGCTGTTTTTGGTTAGCAGGTTGTTTGTTTCTGCTGGAATCTGAGACAAAGACAATGGTTTAGAAGAAAGGGCCGGGAAATAGTAGGTCAAGGAACTCCCAGGCAGTTGAAGGGTCATGCACGAGCTCTTCCTAGCTGACGACGGCCATCTTGAATGCGGTCTACTGTACTTCCTGAAATAACCACTATCTTTAGCTGTATAAGTTTTGATTATTCTTATATATTTGATGGCGTTTGTAAAAGTTTCCGTGTCTATTTTTGCTGTAGTGGCTTTGAAATGAAGTACATTGGCCAAAAAAGATAGGAAGTACAAGTTATAACATATACTATGATATACATTTGTAGCTGCTGTTGAAGACATGAAGGGTGGATTCAATGTGTGAGCATTTGCATTTATTTGCCCAACATTTACCGCTTCCCGTCGGATCACAATGAGTTTCTAACGACCCTACCCTTCCCCTGCCCTCCCCAGTATGTCAAAGAGAATGTGTCCTTATATTATGTGTTAATCAATTATAGGATAGACACCTGTACCTAGTCCTTGGTGGCATGAATGTACATAAGTCTTTCATTCATTCATTCATTACAGAAGCTTCCTCTGAGCAAAATTGTTCAAAATTATTAATAGACAGAGAAACTTAAGTTTACAGATATCTACATTTGATGGGTACTCCTACCACCATTTGAATAATTGTTTAACTGTTTTTTTAAACTCCAAGAAAATGATATGAAAGTTATTAATGTGCAACACTTTCATAGTAGAATTTGCATGGTGGAAGCCACATATTCACAGTTCAATCTTAAATATTGCCTGGGAAATAGCAGTTTTTCTCAAAGCTTCCTCCATAAACATTGAAAGTTTTCATGTTTTATGTGACATTATTAATGTACAAAAAATTGGTCTTTTAAAATTGTGACATGCACAATGGTTAGGACAAATCTTTGGTATTTTAGTGTATTTTTACTGTATGTTAGGAAACTTGTGACTATGTTAACTGTTTTGAAAAGTATCTATTTTGATTAACAATGGCCCATATTCACAGAAAATACAAATTCAACAGAGAATTATACACCTACAACAAATGAATGTGCCAGTGAGATAGCTTCATAAGTAAGGATGTTCCAGCCTATTACTTATCCTTTTTCATGATCACAAGTATTAAGTAAGGCAGGACCAAAATGTCCTTAAAAGTTAACTTAATGCCCCAAGTGTATCATTAAGGGGAAGCAACCTGTAAGTGTAACTCTTCCACACCTTTTGAATGTGATGTGTCACAATGGTACAAATGTATATGTAGGCAGTTTTGGAATTTGAACAAACAGTTTTAGAATATTTTAGAATTCAGTCATGTTTGCATGCTTTTGTTATTCTTGGCATTTCATTGCATCAACATGAAAGTGCAGTGATATTTCATGTGTTCAAAGTATGAAGTATATAATGCATTCTTGGAATACTACCTTACTATGTTTTTAGTGTACCTATTCAAACCATATATTCTGGAGCAAATTAGTTTGCTGTTTGGATTATTTCTCATAAAACTGTCAAAAGATGTGTATCTTGACAAGACAGCAGTTATGTAGTTGATGTAGGTTGCTGATTATAATTTTATATATCCCTTGTCTAGATTATATGCATATCTCCATGAATAGATGGAAGAATGGACTTAATTCTACAAAATCAGAGAGGGAAACGATCAGTTTGAATTGAAGAAACACTCCAGGACATTCTTGCACAGAATTAGTATCAAATCAGTAAGAGCCTTGTCCCTTTGTCTAAATTCCATAGTGACTTTTTTGGTCATGATATATAGATTTGCTACACAAGTTTTAAAAAAAAGAAGAAGAAATCTTTGCGACATCAAGGGAGCCTGCACACGGCAATCTGGATGAAAATTCATTTTGAGAGTCTGCTAACTTGAAAGGCAACATTACTGAGAGCAAGATATAATTTCTGTCTGTCGACGAAACCTTTCCTAGGTTGCTTTTTCAGTTTTTGTTTCAAACTCAGGCCTAAGAGTAAGACAGAACACAACGAACAATGCCTCACCATTACAGATTTTCTACTCTAACGTCTGCAGTCACAGTTGGTTCTTGTGCTGGGGAGGGAGGGGCTGTGTCTGACAGACTTGGGTTATTACAAAAGTTGTCAATATTCAGAGCGTGACAATGCAGAAGTTTTCTTGTATTTCTTAAAATAGGCTTGTTCTGGGCAGGGGAAAATTCAGAGCAATGCAAAAGCATTTTGTATGTTTCCTTTCTGATTACAGTCACATGTATTTCATAACCCATTTGTGTCTAGCTTGTGCCGACCACTAGCCACAGAACTAGGGAGGGGAACATTTTCTATGTTTCTGATTGTTTCTGATATATCCAATTTTTCTTAGCACACCTTAAAATATTTGTAAAATTGTGTCTAGCTTGTGCAGTCAAACAGTTGTGGAAGTGGAGAGGGGAGTATTCAGAGTGCAGTCATGCAAAAACATATCTTTTTAGGTTGCTTTTTTGCTTCCTTTCTGATACATTTGTTACCCAACCTTAGTTGTAGCTTGGTTGTGGAATTGGGGAGGGAAAAATCTGACAGACTTGGGTTATTACAAAAGTTGCCCAGCAATATTCGGAGGGTGGCGATTTTATTGGAAAGCAGTGCAGGCACGTTTGATTTCCCCCCAGGTTGACTCGCCGACCCATTCAGAGCCGTGGCCGTTGTAGTTGGCTTCCAATCATCCCGTCATTGGCCACGCTAGGATGTCCTGGGGGTCACCTCTGCACCAGGCCCTTTTCAAGCCTGGCCACTTTATATCTAATGAAATATTATCAACTTTATGCACCTGTTCGACCCAGGGAGCAGCAAGTTTCTGATGCACGATTATGGGCTGGGACTGGCCACCACTCTGGCTGACGGCAGCGGTCTGGTTTCCACAGTGTTTTACGGCTGCAAAACATCAGGACAAACCAACAGGGAATGGGGAGGGGCAGCGTTTTGAGTCAGAGTGGAAAATCTCACCAGGGAAGATATCCAGTATTCTTGAGCAACCAAATTTTTTCAATCCTCTATCTTATCCACCATAGACAAATTCATATTTCTAATGGCGCTAAGCAAACTTTCCATTACAAAACATGGTCTGTTCCTTTATTTCTAATATAACT